AAAAATGTAGCTTTGGCCAAAGCAAAATTGAATATCTGGGTCACATTATCTCAGCTCAAGGAGTGTTCGTAGACCCTGCTAAAGTCAGGACTGTGTTGGAATGGCATGTACCGAGAAATATGAGAGGAGTAAGTGGATTTCTCGGTCTCACGGGGTACTATCGAAAATTCATAAGGGATTATGGGAAGGTAGCAAGATCTCTCACTGATTTAACAAAAAAAGACGGGTTCGGATGGAATGAGCAAGCGCAAAGAGCTTTTGAGGAATTAAAGAAGAAGGTCACCACTGTGCCTATTCTGGTGCTGCCTAATTTTGAGAAAGAGTTTGAATTAGAATGCGATGCGTCGGGAATGGGGATAGGAGCAATTCTAATGCAAGAACGCATACCTGTGGCCTATTTCAGCAAGGCACTGGAGGAGAAAAATCTAGCAAAGTCTGCTTATGAAAAGGAGCTCATGGCTGTGGCATTGGCAATTCAGCACTGGCGTCCATACCTCCTTGGGAGGAAATTCAAGGTGTATTCTGATCAAAAGAGTCTTAGGCAGCTAATGCAACAAAGGGTGACTACGAGAAGCCAACAAAACTGGTTAGCAAAGTTACTTGGTTACAATTTTGATATAATGTATAAACCAAAGGTGGAAAACAAGGGAGCTGATGCTCTTTCTCGTAGTATGGGAGAAGTGGAATTAAGGGCAATGTCATTTCAACCCATTTGGTTGGATTACAAAGAGCTAATAGATGAAACTCATGCAGATGATAAATGGAAAAAGGTTATTGATGATTTGAAGCATGGAAGGGAGACATATCCTGACTTTACATATGACCATGGCGTATTACTGTTCAAAGGCAGAGTGGTGATTTCAAGAAAATCTGTGTGGATTCCTCAAATGCTAAAGGAATTTCATGAAACGCCAGTAGGAGGACACTCGGGTTTCTATAGGACCTATAGAAGGATGGCAACAAATTTATATTGGCAAGGGATGAAAGAAGATATTTGTAAATTTGTACAAGGATGTGATGTGTGTCAGAGACAAAAATACTTGACTACTGCTCCGGGAGGTTTGCTGCAACCTTTGCCAGTGCCAAATCAGATGTGGAAGATGTTACCCTTGACTACATCACAGGATTACCCCGATCCAAGGGGTACGAAGCTATATTGGTAGTAGTGGACAGGTTGTCTAAGTATAGTCACTTTATTCCCTCAAACATCCATACACAGCTAGGACTATAGTGGAAGTGTTTGTGAAGGAAGTTGTCAGGTTGCATGGAATTCCCAATTCGGTGATCAGTGATAGGGACCCCCTGTTTATGAGTTTATTCTGGAAAGAATTTTTTAGGGTCCAAGGTACCACCCTAAGGATGAGTACGGCGTACCATCCCCAGTCGAATGGACAAACGGAAGTCGTCAACCGTTGCTTAGAAACCTACTTACGGTGTTTTATCACTGATCAGCCCAAGGAATGGAGTCAATGGTTGCCTTGGGCAGAGTATTGGTACAATACGACGTTTCACGTATCCACAGGAACTACTCTGTTTGAGGCAGTATATGGACATCCACCACCTATGATAATAAAGAGTGTGCCAGGGGAAGTAAGAGTAGAAGCTGTCCTAAGAGAATTACAAGACCGTGATGAAGCTTTGAGGCAATTGAAAGTACATTTGGTTAGAGCACAGGAGTGGATGAAGAAGCAGACCGATAAACACCGAATTGAGAGGAGTTTTAAACAAGGTGACATGGTTTTTCTTAAGCTGAAGCAGCACAGACAACACCCTGTGGTTGCAAGAATAAGTCCTAATTTTAGTGCTAGATATTATGGACCTTTTGAACTAATTGAAAGGATTGGGGAAGTGGCTTATCGTCTGAAATTACCTCCAGAATCTAAAATACATCCACTATTTCATGTGTCCTTATTGAAGAAGGCTATTGGGAATTATAAGGCTGAGAGTGGGCTCCCAATGGGATTAGAAGATGATCGTGCAGAACTAATGCAACCAGAATTGGTGCTGGCTTCTCACAGTTTAATGAAGGGAGAAGACAAAATGAATCAATGGCTGGTGCAGTGGAAAGGGAAGACAGCTGAGGAAGCTACATGGGAAGATGAGATAGCTATTCGTAGTCAGTTTCCTGAGCTCAGTCTCGAGGACAAGACTGTTCTTCAAGAAGGGGGTATTGATAGAGTCCAAGATGTTCATGGGCCTCTTGACAGCTTGGCCCATTATGACAATAAGGCTCCCAAATGGAAGGTCTATACACGTAGGAAGAAGAGAGGTGTAGAATAGACATTGGAATACAAAGACCGGGTGGTTAGAGGAGAGAGAGAATGAGATCTTTTCGGTTATTTAGTAGCACGAGTTAGAGAGAGGGGGGTATGCTGTAATCATTTGCTTTTGTGTGGGAATAGAGAAAACCTTGTGGGTTACTCTATTAGGAGTGTTGCTCTGGGACAGGAGAAGATCACACTTCTGCTATATTTCTTTTTCTGATATTAATACAATTCAGTCTCGTATTCCTTTCCATTGAGTGTTATTGTCTTCTTTGAATTTGGGTTCCTAACACCATTCAATTCAAAGCAAGAAAAAGAGAGGGAGCACAACCAAAAGATGAATTCACCGGTTCTTCCACATTAAATTTCTGCAGCCATTTCAGTTTGCTTCTCAGTTTCAACAATGTCATTCTAGATAAGGAAAAATGGTAATCATTTTAGTAAAAGATATACCATACCAGTGCAAAGAAAACTAACAGATACTGCAGAATTCATAGGGCTACAACTCTGGAACTAGATTTGCAGTTTTATAAAGTCATCCAAATTCACTTCTTTGCTTGCAAGGAATTCTTTTCTTCAACTGCAACATAAGAAAAATAAGATATGGCCATTTGCAAATTCAATTTTCTGCTATTCCAAGTAGCGTAGATGGAAACATCACTTGAAGAATAAATTACAATAGGTTACAAAGAGCTTTTTACACAGCTGGAGATAGAAAACAAGATACTAACATATATTGTCCCAAGTAAACATAGGATCAAATAATAACATATCAATTCTCAAATTAAATTCAAAACAATTTGATTCAAAATGAAACAGATCGTGTGACTCTCATTTTTTCTTCTCAATTTTCCTAACACAGTTTAGCAGTGCACTGAACTGTTAAAAACTGTTATTTTCACAGTTCATATTCTATGTAAAATAGTTTAATTTTTTAAGTTAATTCAGTGTAGTTATATAACAATTCAGTTTTTTTTCCCACCCCTACATATATGCGAAGTGTTAAAGTGCTAATTCTTTATATTTCTATGCATATATGTTGATGTTTTTGTTTCATATTCTTAGGTTAACGTCATGCTTCCTACCTTTTTGTAAGGGGGGATAATTACTTTCTCCTTCTAGTAATGAATCGAAATAATGCTAGTGATAATGTTTTTGTAAATTGATAGAAAATTAATCAACAGATAGTTTTCAGCTCATCCTTGGACGATACATGATAGTCATTTCTATATCCATTAAATGTTATACATGCGTGTGTAAGGAAGATTAAAGGTTTATGTAAGTTTTTAGCTTCTCAACTAATATTGTGGCTCATACTTTAGTTAGGAATTCAATCTTATTCGGTTTTGAGAATATATGTTATGCAATGTGTCTTTGTATAAAAAATTCTATCATAATGAAAAGTATTTAATCTTGTGATTGTTGAAAGAAAAAGAAAAAATTATAATTAATTGAATTATTGATATTCATGTGACTGTTTGATAAATATTAAATCATATGATATATATATAATTTTGTATTCACTCGTTATTTTTTTTTTAAAAATATTATTAAAATAACTTCTCAATTTTTTAGAGTTTCACAGCTTGATTTATCCAAAACATGTCACGTTGCCTCTTATCGAATGACAAAAGATTCGAATAAAAAACCTACAAAGATGATAAATATTCTCTTTAAGTTTGTATGTAGTGGAATTCATGAGTCTCTCATTTACAACTATCTTGAAATCTAATTGTTTATAATTTTTGTTTATAACTTTGCTTCATTATTGTTTAATTACGTACAACAATGATAGATATTCCTCCTAAGTTCACATGTAATGGAACTCATGAATCTCTTATTTATAACTATCTTGAAATCTAGTTGTTTATAATTTTTATTTATAACTTTTCTTCGTTATGGCTTAATTGCTTATCAAACTTCTTTTACTGCATTTCAATTAGAAATAACACAACATGGCTTCGATCAATCACACAACTAGTAAAAAAGCTCTTTAGTGGGAACCAGACATCCATATCAAGAAACGTAAGATAAAACAAACCATAATATTTGATGAAATTAAAAAAAAATTAATACAAAAAGTATATATATATGTTTTAATTCATTTAGTATTTATCTTTTCCTCTTTATGCAAAACTTCTCTTATATTATAAATTCAAATATCTTTATTGAATAATATATTTTTTAAGAGTTATTCTTGTATGAACACATTCTTAACAGTTATTATTAAATGAAAAGAGTTTTAGGAGTTATTCCCGTTCTTATTAAATCCCATGTCTTATTCCTAATATTCTATATTAACAATCTAATTTTTAATCTTTTAAATGCAGTTTTTAATTTTAATTTCAAATGTAATTTGATTTAATAACTATTAAAGAAAATTCTTTCTTAACTATCTCAAACCGCTATCATTTTATCACTTTTATTTTTATGTACTTTTAATTGCTTACATTTTCGATTAATCATTTTTCATTTTTATATACTTTTAACTGCTTACATTTTTCGATTTATCATTTTCATTTTTAATTTTAATAATTTTAAAATAATAATAATCAAAAACAACAATATATCATAATATAAATTATTTATTATAAGATAAAATCACTCCTTTATGCCCAAAAATAAATAAATAAATAAAAATCACTCTTTTTTTTTTTATCATTATCAACAACACAATAACAAATTTATTTGGTTGTAGGCAATTAAGATGAGTATCGTCCAGAACAGGAAAATTTAGTTAATTTGCAAGTTTGTTGAGATGAATAGAAGCACATGGGACATAAATAGGCAATAATCAGACCTACCCAAGAGTGTGGTTACCAGAACGCAGAACCCCAATGGCTCTTCCTTGAAAGTGGAAACCAAACACACCCCATCATGGCAATGGCACTCGAAGCTGCACTTTGGATCGCAAAGATGGCGTGGATGGCTCTCAGTGGCTGGATTTCTTCTTGTTTGACCGTTGCTGACGAATTTGCCTCTTCTCTCCGCTCTGGCGAAATTGGCCCTTTTCATGTGGGTTGATCCAATCATGTATCTTTTTTCCAATATGGGTACTGGCTATGCATCAAGTTTTGTTATTTTTTATTGCCCTTGAAACTAGCCTTCATCAGATTTACTGGGTATGTGTCAAAATCTCCTTTTTAAGTCTAGCTTGTGTGTTTTGAGCTGGAGTGGAGTGGGTGGTCCTGGCTTCTGCTTTAGGGTTAGAGGGAGAGGATGTGTTTGCTGTGTGAGATTGGATTTCATTGAATTCAGGAACTGAGAGGTTGTTTGCTGTAGCTTCTTGATTGCTTTGTACCATACTTTGTTTAGGGATTGTAGATGAGTTTGAATGCTAACACAAATGATTGGTTCACGTCTCTGTTCTTATTTGATAAGGTGATCGTAGAGTTGTATCAGTTAAATTGGCTATTTAGATTCATCCATAGTTACTAATAGAACGGTGATTTTCTTAGTTTTTCTTCATTTTTATGCCAGGTCTGCATATGAGAGCCTTAAAGAATTTTTTTCTTTTCTTTTCTGAACCAACAATCAATTTAGGACATTTTGGATAAATTTCTCTATAAACACTTTCAAGAAATAAAAATTAGGAGAAAAATTAAAATTAATTTCTCTATAAATTAAACTTGTTTTTCTATAAGTTAAAAATAACATTTTGAAGAAACAAATAGAAGAGAGCTTTTACAAATTAATCTCTGCATATACTAGTTTTAATTTAAAAAAAATTATTTCATATTTTCTTCATATTTTCTTCCTTACAAAGTGTTTTTAAAAAAATTTATTGAAACATACCCTTATTCCATCAAGTGTTACTCTCTCCCCTATTTAGTTCATAAATTAATAGAGTAATATAAGTAATCCCCTTCAACTCTTCAAGTATTTCATATTAATCAGTTTAGTTTCTAGATTGGTATATTTTATTATTTTATTAACGTTCTTTCTTTTGGAGGGAGGGGAATAAAAGGATCCAATCAATGAGTTTGTAACCTTTGCAAAGTCCCTAACGCTACCCTATCTTAACCCCAAGCGGTATATGCTGCAAATTCTTGTCCAATTAGATCATAAGATGAACATTGTGGTGTGCTAGCTGCATTAATTTAGACCGTAAGCTATCATAAAAAGCTCATGGAAATTATGTTGAGCTTTGACTCTTTAAGGCTGATTGGTATGGAGGTTAACTCACAGTATGTATAAGGAAAAACCCAGGGTGAGTAAATTGGTATAGAGCAGATGAAAAAATTGGTATGGAGTTGTTTCAACTTAAATAATAATCTCGAGTTCAAATCCCGGATATGTAACTATTAAATTTTTTGGAAGAAGAGTTTTGTTGTCTATAATAGTCCTATCAGATTCAAACATAATTGCTTTTTGAAAAAGATAAATGTGGTCTATATAAAAATAAATAAATAAAGGGTGCTACTTTTGATTGTATGCGAGGTTATGTGCTATAATGAAATGCTGATACTTTTTAAAGTTACTTGATGCTTAGAAACTCACATGCTTATAATTGTCCTTCAATATATTTTAATGCTACACTCATTTTCTGGCCATATGGCAAAAATAGTTGTTTACTGGTTGTGGAGTTGTTTTTGGCTTAGTCTTTATATACCCTCTTCTGTCATTGAGCTGGAACTTGGTTATATATCATCAATTTTGTCGTCATATATTGCATGAGGTGTGTGCTGAACACGCTCAGTTTGACACTCTTTTTTTAACTCTAGAAGTGAAATTTTAGGTTAGCTGATTAAATAGCTAGGGCCCATTCTTCATTTGTGGGTTCAATGTAGGATTTCATCGATTAATGGAAAAGAATATATAGAAGAGTACGTTGACCAAATTTTCCATGTTGCATTTAACTATGGCAGGAATGAAATATTGGTATAGTAGGTATAGTTAGTTAATAGAACTTGAATTTGCTAAATCAAACTCGTTAAAATTTTATAGTTAATGGATGAAAGACTAGGAAATTAAGATGACATTTTAAGTTCTATGCTTTTGCTCCTTAAGGAGTTGGATTATGTTTGGCTAGCATTTGTTGTGATATTTTTTTTTTATTATTGTTGTCATGTTTGATTAAATATTTAATCAGCGAAAAGGCTGAACAGTCTCTCAAACTGTAGTTGTTGCTTTGATCATATCGTCTACGTAGTTATATTTATTCAAAAATTATCATCAAACTAACAGGATCTATAGGTTGGTTTTGGTTTATTCTCTAATCTCTACTGTGTTTAGATTTAGCTTCAAAAACTCACTAATTTAAGAAACCTATAGTGTGTAAGAATTATTTTAATCACTAGGTGAGTTTAAGTATATATAAATCATAAAATAGAAACAACAGTGCATTGAAATGATTCATTGCAAAAATAACGGGATCCGTTTATAAATTTGAGTAGAATTTTTATGAAAAAAAATTGAAGAATCAGCGTCCAAGTGATAAAAAGTAGAGCGATTGATTGAAGAATAATTCACTTATGTAAAGCTGGAGAGGATGAAAAAGGAGCAAATTTAAGTTGTGTTTGTGCATTTGCCTTCATTGTTTTTCTGATTGTCACTTCCTCTTGGGTTTGGTAGTTCACTGCCCTTGGATTAAATATTCATTTGCAATTCATATTATGTAGTACTTTTGTAGTTATGAATAGTGTATGTTAAAACTAGTTATGAAAAAAATTGTGTATCAATATATTGTATGTTAGGATTTGATACTGAAAAAATCGTGTTGTTTCTGTTCACTTTATTTTCCATTATTTTGCTCGTAAATTGATTATACTCATAAGATGTTGAATGTAGGCAATGAAGTTGCAGTCAATTGACAGTATTAACCTGCTTGAGATAAACTCATGATTGCCGAGCAATCTACCCATTTTCAATTTTTCTTTTTAATTTTCAATAGAAAAGAGTTGAATATTAAAATAAAAAATCTGGAAATCTAGTATCCAATTAAATTTGAAATTTAATTTGTGAACGTATTTGGGGGGGGAGGGGGGGGGGGGGGAACAAAAAAAAGAAAAAGGAAAAAAAAAAAAAAAAAGAAAAAAAAAAAAAAAAAGAAAAAAAAAAAAAAAAAGAAAAAAAAAAAAAAAAAGAAAAAAAAAAAAAAAAAGAAAAAAAAAAAAAAAAAGAAAAAAAAAAAAAAAAAGAAAAAAAAAAAAAAAAAGAAAAAAAAAAAAAAAAAGAAAAAAAAAAAAAAAAAGAAAAAAAAAAAAAAAAAGAAAAAAAAAAAAAAAAAGAAAAAAAAAAAAAAAAAGAAAAAAAAAAAAAAAAAAAAGAGAGTTCACGAGACAACGATTGCAGGCGAAAAGTGAGAGAAATCAGAAGAGCATGTAGTGGGGAGAGTAAGTTGTAGATTCACTGTCTTATTAGTCATGAAACGAGACCTTGCTTTATGTTTCTAGGTATTGTTTAATTTCCACAAGAGCATTTCTAAGAGGCTACCATTTTTTGAATCGATGATATTGGCAGGAATCTTGTTTCTGCCTTTTGAGCGTTTGAAACAAGTTCTAATTATATTTCAGCAATATATCTCCTAGAATTAAAATATTGTTGCCCAAATCTAAATAACGATGACTCTGAAAACAGGATTTAACGACGATTAGAAATCTTTGTAAGTTTAAACAATTAGATTAAACCGATGATCCAAACTAAATTAATTAAGTCCAATTATTTTCCTTGATCAGATTAGATTCATTCTAAACCAATTAAATCTAATCTTAATTAATTCAAATCACAAATTTAAATTTCAGATAATTTTGAGAACCAAATTTATTATTATTATATAATATTATGATCTTGTAATAAATATATATAATATTATGATTCTAATAGTAATACATAACAAAATTATTATAATGCATGAACACTACTTACATTTGTAATTTAGGCGATTTAATCATATTTGAAGAACTACTTTAATAAACATTGGAATAACTTTATTTCAAACATAAGACTATTTTATTATTTTAATTTCATACTTTTTACATTATTTTTTTACTTACGGTTGAATGTTATTCACACTTTTTAATAATAGGTTTTCATTTAAATTTTGAGATAAATTAATAAATTTTTGTTTTAAAAAAATATCAACCATTTTTTTTTCAAAAAAACTAATTAATCCTAACCAAATCAACCCATTGTTAATCGATTTGATTTGGTTTAGATAGCAAATTTTGTTTTGATAAATCCAATTCAGTTCAAACCGATTAAAATTGATGGCTCCATCAACACCCTACATTTTAAATTTTAATGCCTTAAAAGGCCAATTTACTAAAATACTAGAGGGCCAATATTCAACATTTGGGAAAACTGTTATAGCAGGTGACGTCTTTCTCGCCCCTCGATGATCCATCCTCTAAAATGTCCTTGTTAAATATTAAGGGTCTCCTGGGACTAAATATATATATAAAAATAATAATAATAATAATAATAATAATAATAATAATAATAATAAATCCCACTAGTTTTGTCGAAGAGTCAACTAAGTTAAGTACACTGTTTTCTAATTTTCCTAAACAATTTTATGCAGCCAAATCACAGGAAAATCAACAAAACACCATAGTATAATTCTAGTATCAACACAATGTAAAACAAGCATAGTACAAAAAGCCAAATACACAAGGGAAAAAAAGATTATTATTTATTTGCACCGAGTCTTTCCCTTCCATGCAAGCATTTCAACTTTCATTTCCCATCACCAAGAATGAGGTGAGTGCACTTTCTACGCACCAATATGTTCATCCAACAGTTAAAATTTCAAAATCTCTAGTTTTATGTACAACCTTTTAAGCATTTTGTTCAACCTGCAGACAAAATAAACAAAATAACAGATTACAGGCTAAAATGGATATATTTGTCACTACGTATGCATATATCAAAAGATTAAAAACCATGCTTGATTCAATCGCAAATTTTGCACATTTGGTAGTTCCCGCATAACCTGATCCTTAAAAATAGAGGTAAAGAACTCACCTGAAAGTTTGATGACTAAAGGGTATCAACTATTCACTCCCGAAGTCTTCATAACTCAAGCCTTCTGATATGGAGTCCAGCCTATTATTGTCTATTTTAAAACCAAGAAAACAATGGTATTAGCATTGAGGCACAAAATAACAAATTACAGGTGAGTTGAGATTGTTTCTCACCTTGCTCTCCTCTGTCAAGGAAGTTCTCATTATCCGCAGCTAGGAAGGGTGACCTAGAATAGGTCTCCAGTATATCTGTCAAATAAAAAGCTAAACTATTAGTGCTAATGAAATATCCGCAGCTAGGACGATACACTGTGTATATAGCATGAAAATCGGCTTCAAACTTGGAAAAATCAACATGAAACAAAAATTGACTGGCATTTTACTCATCATTATCAGCAAAGATTCGCTTTC